ATTGGATATTAAGGTCTTCGCAGTGAGAGTGGTCAGATGCTGGCTCAGGGGCCCCTGATGTTGTAGAGATCTTCCTCCTCGGAGATACTCAGCACATGCCTGGACAAGGCCCTGCACAACCTGCTCTGACATTGAAGTTAATCCTGCTGTGACTGGGAGCCGGTGATTTCCTGAAGCCCTTCCAGCCTGGATTATTCTCTAATCCTCTCTGTGTGCCTTCCTGGGCAAACCTGTTCACCAGAGGAGCTGGGCAATCTCCAAGGGACTGGCTTTTTCAGTCCTGTCCCCAGGACTCAGAAATCAGCTCGGAAACACCAAGTCCTTACTCCTACTGCCTTTGGAGGGCACTGTAGGAACATTTTATGGGAGGCTGGCTGTAGCAAGACCCTTGTCCCTTGCTCAGATGGTTTCCCAGTGGGAATCTCATTAAGGAACCAGGTGCTGTGTCCAGGAACTTCCCCTAGAGCAGGTTTGGGGGTGGCAAAGGTGGTGGCCGCTGTTTCAGCCCGAGCCAAGGGCCATCCCTAGAGCACGTTGGATGGTGCGTCTGTTTGGAAGAGGAAGGAATTTTATAATATAGACGTGGGCTGTTCAGTGCCATTTGGCTTTAGCTGGAGTGTGGTGTCTGGACAGTTTGACTCCCAAGTCTAGACGTAGCCGGGAGGCTGTTTGGCACTGCTTGTCCATCACCTTTTGCCCAGAGACAGCTGGCTTGGCAGAAGGACTAGTGCACCTTGCAAAGGTGACTGCTGCTTGAGCTGAGCTCTTCAGTCTTTTCTCCTCCAGGGAAGTGGTTGTTCGAGCACTGGGCAAGGGCAGAGCTGGAGAAATGCGTGTCTGAAGAGAAGGGCCTGCAGGATGCCAGCTCTGCCCTTGTGCGATGCTCTAACAAGCGCTTGCAAGAATGCTGCTGCTCCGCTGAGATCTTGATGCCACTTTGAATTCAAACTGGGTTATGCAGCGTGGGCCACTGAACCACGTCTGAAGCACTTATTGCCCCAGTTCCCCGTTTGCCGTGTGCTCCTTACTGCCTGCAGGGTGGAGAAGCTGGAGAATGAAGCCAAATCGAGCGCATGCAAGTTTGAGGAGATCACCTCCAAGTGGGCCTTGGGCAAGGAGATGACAATCCCGCAGGAGCTGTGGCAGCTG